TTATGGACCCGGCTCTTACATCACTGAACTTGTCTCTGGGGGGCCAAAAACTTACGCATACCTTGTCTGGTCAACCAATCAACAGAAATTGTTCCCTGTATGTAAAATCAAGGGCCTCACCCTCAACTTTAAAACATCAAAAGTTGTAAACTTTGAAAAACTGAGAGAAATGGTCCTAAGTGAAGTAAAACAGTCAATTGAAATAGAAGAAAACAGAATCAGAAGAACTAGAGACAGAGACATCGTTACCATCACTGAGAGCAAAGTGTTTAAAATCACGGGGCCTAAGAGAAGGTTCGAAGGAGAGTACGACACTCTACCTTTTGGCTATAGAAAAGTCCAAAGAGACATTTAAATTCCTTTGTAAATAACTTTGTAATTTTTCATTGTATATATTATTGTAAATAACTCTCCTAATAAAAAAAAATCTATAGATAAATACTTATGTAATCTGACCAAAGTGTGAGTGTGTGTACACTGAGTAGTTCAGATTGGAAAGAACCTGTGCTACTCCTTGTACTTGTGTGAATGTGTGTACACCGAGGTGCTCAAATCTCAAAGGACTTGAGCCACTCCCTATACTTGTGTGAATGCTATTGGTCACTGGCGCGGCTGACTAAAAGGCCCGTAAACCATGAATGTTAAAACTTTGAATTAACTTTTGGCAGGATTACATAACTAAATCTATAGACTTGACATAAAAAAGCTTTGTAAAAGTAAGGGAGAGGGCGTTTATAGCGACTACCAGGTAATCTGGACTGGCTATAAACGCTTAACCTGGCCTCACTTAATGAGGGGATAGTCTCAAACCCTATCCAATACAAAGCTACATCATACGTAACAGGTATTAAGATACATCATTCTACTAATAATGGATGGTATAGCGGAAGAACTATACCAAATGTAATGTAACTCTTAGAGGATCAAACGACCTGTATAAAGATGATATAGAAGAGATGCAACCTAGTGGAAAGCTTGTAAACCACTACAAAAGTATAGTGGACAACTGAAATCGTTATCACAGATGGTTAAACCCAACAACTCTGTATCTTGATAGGATGGTACATTCAAAAACGCATGAGGAGAGGAGGTCAAACTCCTACTTAAATTTATCCCCCATAAGAGCCTCTAGTTATGGAGGATGATTATAGCGCTAATCTGTAAATAATACAAGTTTACCATATTGGTTTTACACTTGAGGTGTTAAAGACTCAAAAACAGGAAACTAGTGTTGTATTGAGTGAGAAATCAAATTATAGCCCACATTTATTACTTAATAAACATTACAAGGTACAAAGGTAACGTTATCACTGCTACCTGCAGTGTTATCCTGTGATGGTAAATAGTACAGATGTCCGTGACAACACCCTACCTATGATTTATGAGTGTAACGTGTCCGTGTGTGTGTGTGTGTGTGTACAAAGCCCCCTGATTGACCCTCAAATGACTGACTTCCGTTGAAAAACTAATATTCTTGACAACGGTACATATTGATGTAACAGATTTTGAAACCTTGGTTGTAGTAAATAACAACTAAATCGGACCGGGAAAGGCAAATTTACCCATTATCATGGGTAAGCTATAACAGCGATACAAATATTAACAACCGCTTAAGGGCAAGTATATTTTAATTCTGAGAAAATATTAAATAAAACCTGCTGTTAGACTGTATGTTAACGATAGCTAGACTGAGAAAGGTGTGGGAGTATGTTAAAACTCCCCCTATGATAGCTAAACCATGTAGATATCCTAAAAATCTTGTAATCACAGGCTATGGAACCTTACAAGTGGATAATAATATATGAGTTAGTATTGGTAAAAATATGCTTATTGATACCCAAGTCCATTTATATACGTTCCTTTTCTAAGCTACGACTAATAATGTAAGCCATGTTTATTGATTAATAGAGGGGTTTTTATTCCGTTCATCCTATTTATCATTGGTGTTCTGAAGACTATTGTAAACACATTATCTTTTAGCATTTGTGCCCGAATGTTCCATTGGCTCTCAGCTATGAACGTAATGCGACACCTATTGTCTATGCCTCTTTCAAGTTGTCACTGTTTTGAAAAATATTTAATGTTAAGCAATAGTTTTAATGGAGATGTCTCTTAGATTGACATGAAATTGATACACTTGAAGTTCTAAGTAATGCCCCTTTTGCCGTTATCGAGGTTCTACCGTACTCTGAATAAATAAAAAACCTCTTTTAAAACACAAAAACCATCGATATTCAACGTATACTCTAAAGACCGAGGAATGTACAATTCATTCAACGACAAATGCAAAGCAAGAAAGGGAATAGTTGTTATAAATAACACTGACAACTTTTGTCTAGCTAAAGCAATGGTGGTAGGTAAAGCCTATTTTTTAAAAATGGATCCACAAATCGAGGTATTCGTGAAGACAAGACCATGAGACAAACAATTAGGGCAAAGAAACTTATAGCTAAAACGTGTGTAGGAATGCCTGAAGAGGGATCAGGTATCCCTGAACTTGAAAAGTTCCAGGTACGCTTAAAGAAATATAGAATTACGGTTTATAATTACGATAGCAAGGGTCGGGATGTATATTTCTAGAATGGATAATCTCCACTAAAATTATTTTGATGGAGGTTACTAACGTTAGATTTATTGACTCCCTTAGCTACTTACCCTTGTCTTCGTCTGCCTTACCAAAAGCTTTTGACTTACCACCTGAAAAGAAGAAAGGTTACTTCCCACAAAATTTTGATTTGCTACTGTATTGAACAAATGCTGGAAGTAACCTTTCTTCTAGAAATATACATCCCGACCCTTGCTATCGTAATTATAAACCGTAATTCTATATTTCTTTAAGCGTACCTGGAACTTTTCAAGTTCAGGGATACCTGGTCCCTCTTCAGGCATTCCTACACACGTTTTAGCTATAAGTTTCTTTGCCCTAATTGTTTGTCTCATGGTCTTGTCTTCACGAATACCTCGATTTGTGGATCCATTTTAAAAAAATAGGCTTTACCTACCACCATTGCTTTAGCTAGACAAAAGTTGTCAGTGTTATTTATAACAACTATTCCCTTTCTTGCTTTGCATTTGTCGTTGAATGAATTGTACATTCCTCGGTCTTTAGAGTATACGTTGAATATCGATGGTTTTTGTGTTTTAAAAGAGGTTTTTTATTTATTCAGAGTACGGTAGAACCTCGATAACGGCAAAAGGGGCATTACTTAGAACTTCAAGTGTATCTATTTCATGTCAATCTAAGAGACATCTCCATTAAAACTATTGCTTAACATTAAATATTTTTCAAAACAGTGACAACTTGAAAGAGGCATAGACAATAGGTGTCGCATTACGTTCATAGCTGAGAGCCAATGGAACATTCGGGCACAAATGCTAAAAGATAATGTGTTTACAATAGTCTTCAGAACACCAATGATAAATAGGATGAACGGAATAAAAACCCCTCTATTAATCAATAAACATGGCTTACATTATTAGACGTAGCTTAGAAAAGGAACGTATATAAATGGACTTGGGTATCAATAAGCATATTTTTACCAATACTAACTCATATATTATTATCCACTTGTAAGGTTCCATAGCCTGTGATTACAAGATTATTAGGATATCTACATGGTTTAGCTATCATAGGGGGAGTTTTAACATACTCCCACACCTTTCTCAGTCTAGCTATCGTTAACATACAGTCTAACAGCAGGTTTTATTTAATATTTTCTCAGAATTAAAATATACTTGCCCTTAAGCGGTTGTTAATATTTGTATCGCTGTTATAGCTTACCCATGATAATGGGTAAATTTGCCTTTCCCGGTCCGATTTAGTTGTTATTTACTACAACCAAGGTTTCAAAATCTGTTACATCAATATGTACCGTTGTCAAGAATATTAGTTTTTCAACGGAAGTCAGTCATTTGAGGGTCAATCAGGGGGCTTTGTACACACACACACACACACACGGACACGTTACACTCATAAATCATAGGTAGGGTGTTGTCACGGACATCTGTACTATTTACCATCACAGGATAACACTGCAGGTAGCAGTGATAACGTTACCTTTGTACCTTGTAATGTTTATTAAGTAATAAATGTGGGCTATAATTTGATTTCTCACTCAATACAACACTAGTTTCCTGTTTTTGAGTCTTTAACACCTCAAGTGTAAAACCAATATGGTAAACTTGTATTATTTACAGATTAGCGCTATAATCATCCTCCATAACTAGAGGCTCTTATGGGGGATAAATTTAAGTAGGAGTTTGACCTCCTCTCCTCATGCGTTTTTGAATGTACCATCCTATCAAGATACAGAGTTGTTGGGTTTAACCATCTGTGATAACGATTTCAGTTGTCCACTATACTTTTGTAGTGGTTTACAAGCTTTCCACTAGGTTGCATCTCTTCTATATCATCTTTATACAGGTCGTTTGATCCTCTAAGAGTTACATTACATTTGGTATAGTTCTTCCGCTATACCATCCATTATTAGTAGAATGATGTATCTTAATACCTGTTACGTATGATGTAGCTTTGTATTGGATAGGGTTTGAGACTATCCCCTCATTAAGTGAGGCCAGGTTAAGCGTTTATAGCCAGTCCAGATTACCTGGTAGTCGCTATAAACGCCCTCTCCCTTACTTTTACAAAGCTTTTTTATGTCAAGTCTATAGATTTAGTTATGTAATCCTGCCAAAAGTTAATTCAAAGTTTTAACATTCATGGTTTACGGGCCTTTTAGTCAGCCGCGCCAGTGACCAATAGCATTCACACAAGTATAGGGAGTGGCTCAAGTCCTTTGAGATTTGAGCACCTCGGTGTACACACATTCACACAAGTACAAGGAGTAGCACAGGTTCTTTCCAATCTGAACTACTCAGTGTACACACACTCACACTTTGGTCAGATTACATAAGTATTTATCTATAGATTTTTTTTTATTAGGAGAGTTATTTACAATAATATATACAATGAAAAATTACAAAGTTATTTACAAAGGAATTTAAATGTCTCTTTGGACTTTTCTATAGCCAAAAGGTAGAGTGTCGTACTCTCCTTCGAACCTTCTCTTAGGCCCCGTGATTTTAAACACTTTGCTCTCAGTGATGGTAACGATGTCTCTGTCTCTAGTTCTTCTGATTCTGTTTTCTTCTATTTCAATTGACTGTTTTACTTCACTTAGGACCATTTCTCTCAGTTTTTCAAAGTTTACAACTTTTGATGTTTTAAAGTTGAGGGTGAGGCCCTTGATTTTACATACAGGGAACAATTTCTGTTGATTGGTTGACCAGACAAGGTATGCGTAAGTTTTTGGCCCCCCAGAGACAAGTTCAGTGATGTAAGAGCCGGGTCCATAATCTGCCAATTCGTCAGTCATTTCGCCGAGGTAATCTCCCGTAGGAACTCTGTATAAGCCTTGACGGTGGTAAAAAATGACACTGTCTGTGTCATAATATAATACTTGAACTCCTAGGGCCTCAAGATGTTCGTAGAGTTCGAGTCTCACCTGCGCTGTGGTGTAGGCCGCGATACAAACATTAACGTTACTGAGAGGTTCCCCAACTTCTTCCAAGTACTCCCAAGAAACAACTACAACCTCCTCGTTGACGGTTTGGACTCTATTTACATCTATTTCGGGGGATGAGAACATTTGAAAAAGTGTTTTAGAATCCCTAACGATTGTGGCTTTAGTCTGATTTTCGCGTTGACCAAACTTACCCCAGAAACTGTTTAACATTAATTTTGCCAAAGACCTCAAACCCCCATTCTTAACAATTTTGTCTTTCTCCAGCTTGATTCCCTCATGTCCCAAATATTCCGCTATGTATTTGTTTTTGTCCTCCTCAGTCTTACACCACTCTGGATAGCCAGAAGCTTCCTGTTTCATCTTTAAAAATGTATTAATAAAGTCAGTGAACAAGCCCCCGTTTTCATAAGTCGCAACCTGGTACTCCCATAACTCATACATGTTCAGTACAATGTACCCTTTCTCTACTGCCTTCCTAATCTCATCCATTGTCCATGTCCCAACTAGTGCCCTATTATCACTATCATGGTTACACTCTCCCTGATACATCATCTCCCCACAAGTCCTACACAACACAAACATCAATTTGTCGTTTATTTTTGTAGGGAGTACTGGGTGATAGAGATCACGAGGGGGAAGGACTTTACACTTTAACAAACCCTCTACTCCCATACCTCTCTCGCGACACTCCTTGTCTCCGACATAGATAGTTGGGTGGCCTACAGGGTACTTCCCATACTTACAAACATACGGATAGAGAGAGCAAACATCAACGTATTGAATGGTTTCTCCCTCGGCGCATTTGTGATAGGATTTCGCATTGCCAGTCCTACCTCCAAAGAAAGACTGTCGTGGGTCTAGTGGGAGATTGTTCAAGATGGGCAGACTGTCCAGATGATTAAGTTTTTTATCCTTTTTAAGCTTACGGAATTCGCATTCCCACATCTCTACCAAACCGTGTTCTGTAAACTTGGAGTTTTTAGCTATGGTTCTCTCGTAGCGAAGATGTAAGCTATCGGAGGGATCCTCCTTCAAAGGGACGTGACGGTTGCAATTAAAACATTTAGGGCATCCGTGCCAGTAACACCCGTGAAACTCATAGATGTTTCTACCATCAAATCCATCTACCTTCATCCCATTAACTTTGACTTCTTTGCCTCGTCCGGCATGATCGATCCTAATCCCGTTGGTTTCCTCGACCCAAGAAAGCCAATGGAGTGCAATTGCCGATTGATTGTCTACTATTCGATAACCGTTCTTAGGGATGATGCCGATAGTGTTAGGTTTCAGGAAGTTACGTCTGAAGGCTAGATTACAGGCACTCGCGATGGTAACAGCCTCGAGAAACGGGTCAACATTGCACTCTTTTAGGAAGATTGAGCGGAACTTTAGACAGGATTGAGCCAAGATATCGACATCTGACATGCAGTATTCCAGCAACTCCTTTTTAAAATTAAATTCATACTTTTTTGCAACCTGTTCGCTGTACCATTTGTCAAAGTCGTTGTGTGATTTCTCAAACATGGATTCGGGACAGTAGTACTCTTTGGGTGGCATAGGACCCACGTAGTTTTGGTTTGTTAGAGTATTGAAGAGATGGGGAAAGTAGCCTTTCTTTTTCTCTGGAGGTAGGTCAAAGGCTTTAGGGAGTGCGGATAGAGCCATGGGGAAGTAACTTAACGAGTCCACAAACCTCACATTGTCAATTTTCATTAAGATAATTTTGGTTCCTCGCATTACAAGTTCCGGTGTGAATTTTGTTTCTTCCAACAAGTACTTTAGCAAGAATTGAAAGTCAAAACCCTGCCCATTATGTGCGATTACACAGACGTTTTTGAACTGCTTTCTCACATACATTACATAGTTCATAAACTGGTTAATAGGGTCGGAATCAAACACTCGTGTACGATTTTTACACGCTATACAGAATTTTCCCTCAATGCACTGGTAACAAAATTGCTGAGAGACACACAAATTTACTTTATGTACTTTACTTTCTGGGTCGGTGGGTAGGGACTCGTCCTGGCGGGTTTCCAAGTCAAAGAAGATAAAAAGGTAGTCTTTAGATTTAGATTTCGGTCTGCCCTCGTTGGGTTTCATGTAACATTTATGGTTAGGATCTTTAAATTCTCCACAAGGTTTGCAATACACTTCCCCGCACTTGTGAGGCTTAGATCTCTCTTTAAGCCAAACTAGTTTCCCGCAATCGAGACATTTCTTAACATTTTTACATCTATCGGCTTGATGCGCGATGAAACAGCGTTGGTTTTTATAAGTCATGTTACATTTTGGACACAAGATTCCCCCATGCTCCTCTACACAAGGGGGTGAGATAGTTTGACACTGTGAACAAATGTTTGAGCAACGGTGCTTACCTTTGTGATCGTAGGGTATATGACAGGCTTCACAATAAAACACACAAGCAAAAGCGGCTGTCAAACTAGTAATTACATTATAGTGCCGGTTATGATACAACAAGTTAATTTTGAACTTGGGGTTCTCTACATTTCCCTCAAAGTAAACGTCGTGGCCTTTAGCATTGTAATTGTATACAGTGATTTTGTAGTCTTTAAGCAAGTCCTGAAATTTTTCAAGTTCGGGAATGCCTGCACCACCCTCAGGCATCTCGACTCTGGCTCGACGTACAAGTTTTTGAGCCCTTACAGTCTGTCTTTTTGCTTTATCCATTCTAACTAATTCATATGCTGGATCTTTATTTACATTAGCTATAGCTACCACCAAGGCACGGGGAAGACACAGATTATCTTTATTATTAATTACAACAATCCCCCTTCTTGCTTTACATTCTTCATCAAAGGTGTTATACAGGCCAGGTCTAACCCTACCTTTACCTACAGGGAGATTAACTCGAGTACATTTGACTTGAAATGTGTCCGTGGACTTGATCGATTCAGCGTTACTTTGTACAATTCCCCCAAATATTTGCCACAAGACATCCTCGTTAACTTCATTTGCAGGGCGAAAAGTGACAAACCCCGACTCTTCCCTTTTCATGTTAAGTGAACGCAAAGTGAAACCCAATTGATCGCCCTCCTGACAAACTTCTTTCATCTCATTTACAATTTGACCAAACCCTTGTCTTAGCCAATCAATCTCACTAGTTTCAGGCGGGGGGTTAGAAAACTTGAAAACAGTGTTAATACCGTGAATTCTGAATTTCTTAACATAATTCTCATGTTTATCTAAGATATTTACAGGGACAACTACTTCAACAGAATCATCAACTATATTTACAGGTTCAACTACTTGAGCAGCTAAGTTACTTACGTCCATCTTCGTCAAACGCTGAGAGCAAAGTGATGCGATGGTGATACAGAGCAATATATATACGGTAGGGAAAGGGGTGGGGGTAGCTAATGACTACACAGATCACCTATTTATGACCAATCAGGAGTAAGCTTATTACAGCCAATCAGCGTACAGGATTTTTTCAAGTTATAACTTGTTTACTACACCGTATGTGGTACTAATTATAATTTTTGTTTCAGATTATGCAATGTCACCACACAGGATGAAGACGATTTAAATACACCGTTTTAGCTTTCACAGTTGTTCTCCTTATTTTCTCAACTAGATATTCATTTAATAAACCTACGTATAGAAGTGAGGTTATGTTACTTGGCGGGGACAGTTGGCGGGAAAGCAAATGGCGGGATACAGTTGCTACGTACACAAGTGAGGTTATGTTACAGATACGTATGCAGTACGTGAAGTGAGGATGTTATCTGGCGTAAACCGTTGGTGAGAAAGCAAGTGACAGCTCCTAGGTTATGTTACTTGGCGGGAAAACAGAGGTTATATCACATATACAAGATCATATAATCAGCTAAGTATCGAACCCATAAACCTCTGAGCTAACCCCAATCAGGTTAGAATCGAACCCGTGAACCTACAGCGCTAACCCAATAGGATTAAAATCGAACCCGTTAACCTCTAAAACTAACCCAACCGGGTAAAAATTGAACCCGTGAACCTACAGCACTAACCCAACCGGAAATAACATGTTTTGTGGTTAGTTAGAGTCGAACCCGTAAACCTTTTAAACTAACCCCTAACTGGGTAAGAATTGAACCCGAGAACCTACAGCGCTAACCCAATCGGATTAAAATCGAACCCGTTAACCTCTAAAACTAACCCAACCGGGTTAAAATCGAACCCGTGAACCTCTAAAACTAACCCAATTAGGTTAGGATCGAACCCGTTAACCAACCCAACCGAGTTAAAATCGAACTCGTGAACCTCTAAAACTAACCCAATCAGGTTAGGATCGAACCCATTAACCAACCCAACCGAGTTAAAATCCAACTCGTGAACCTCTAAAACTAACCCAATCAGGTTAGGATCAAACCACTTAACCAACCCAGTCGGATTAGAATTGAACCCGTTAACCTCTAAAACTAACCCAACCGGTTAAAATCGAACTCGTGAACCTCTAAAACTAACCCAATCAGGTTAGGATCGAACCCATTAACCAACCCAACCGAGTTAAGATCGAACTCGTGAACCTCTAAAACTAACCCAATCAGGTTAGGATCGAACCCATTAACCAACCCAACCGAGTTAAGATCGAACTCGTGAACCTCTAAAACTAACCCAATCAGGTTAGGATCGAACCCATTAACCAACCCAACCGAGGTAAGATCCAACTCATGAACCTCTAAAACTAACCCAATCAGGTTAGAATTGAACCCGTGAACCTCTAAAACTAATCCATTTGGGTTAAAATCGAACCCATTAACTAACCCAACCGGTATAGAATTGAACCCATGAACCTACAGCGCTAACCCAATCGGATTAAAATCGAACCCGTTAACCTCTAAAACTAACCCAACCGGGTTAAAATCGAACCCGTGAACCTCTAAAACTAACCCAATCGGGTGAAAATCGAACCCGTTAACCAATCCAATCAGGTTAGAATAGAACCCGTTAACCAACCCAATCAGGTTAGGATCAAATCCGAGAACCTCTCCAATCGGGTTAGAATTGAACCCGTAAACCTCTAGCGCTAACCCAACCGGAAATAATATGTTTTGTGGTTGGTTAGATTCGAACCTGAGAACCTCTAGGATCAAGGACTCACACTACTCCTACTAAAATACAACACTATACTAAAAACATTCCAACTTGAAATTAAATATTTGGTTATTGGTAAGGATCGAACCCGAGAACCTCTGGGACCATAGGCTCATATACAAATGGTGAACTATACCACAATACCATACTGAAACTCAAAATATCACCCCAACCGGAAATGACACGATTGGTGATTGGTAAGGATCAAACCCGTAAACCTCTGAGATAAAGGACTCACGCTACTCCCGTTACATTACAACAACATACTAAAAATAAAAAATATCGCCCTAACCAGAAGGGAAGCAGTTGGTGTTTAGTAAGGATCGAACCTGCAAACCTCTGAGATCAACGACTCACGCTACTCCCGTTACATTACAACAACATACTAAAAGTAAAAATATCACCCTAACCAGAAGGGAAGCAGTTGGTGTTTAGTAAGGATCGAACCTGCAAACCTCTGAGATCAACGACCCAAACTACTCCCACAACAATACAACACTATACCAAAAACATCCCAAGCGGAAATGAAACGTATGGTGATTGGTAAGGATCGAACCCGAGAACCTCTGAGATCAAGGATGCATACTACTCCCACTACGTTACAACACTATACAAAAAACACCCCTACCGAAAATGAAACGTTTGGTGATAGTTACTTGGTATTTAGCGAATAGTTAGGATTGAACCCGCAAACCTCTGAGATCAAGGACTCACACTACTCCCACTACGATAAAACACCTTACAAAAAACACCCCAACCAGAAATGAAACGTTTGGTGATAGATACTACTTGGTATTTAGCAAATAGTTAGGATTGAACCCGCAAACTTCTGAGATCAAGGACTCACACTACTCCCACTACGTTACAACACTATACGAAAACACCCAAACAAAAATGAAACGTTTGGTGATAGATACTTGGTATTTAGCGAATAGTTAGGATTGAACCCGCAAACTTCTGAGATCAAGGACTCACACTACTACGTTACAACACTATACGAAAACACCCAAACCAAAAATGTAACGTTTGGTAATAGTTACTTGGTAATTAGCGAATAGTTAAGACTGAACCCGTGAACCTCTGGCTCATACACAGCTTCTTACACAATCAACCGCTAGGAAGAAAAATTTACACACCCTCGTTACCCCTTTAGACACCCCAAATATACATAACATCTATGAAATGTCTATATAACGTTTAACATTTGGTGGCCTTTACAAAGGCCGTTTTTTATACTCGATGGTTAAGTTCAGCTTAAGCCTTCTTTCAGCTGTTTCTAACATTAGATACGTGAATTATCATTTGTTTTGCATTTGTTATACACTATAGCATATATGTGTAATATAAAATAAAATGAAATGTTTTTTTTACAAAGAATCAAACCCTATAACCGTAAATGACATGTTTTGTGATAGGTTAAAATCGAACCCGCAAACCTCACACTAATGGAAATAACCCATAGACCTCCAACCAATATTTACACAACCTGTATATGTAAGTTAAAGTGTCATTTACCACTATAAACTCAATACCTAAAACTAGCGTCGTGGCTCAGTAGCTAACGGCCCGAC